CTGTAACCGTTTATCTTTGTCTCTCACATAAGCCTTTACGAATTGTGGCTTGTGCTTCATTATAGAACTAATTCAAGTCAGTGACATTTGAGGGTTTCCTTGCACGAATGTGTCACTTCACGTTCTGTCTAACATTTCAATGGGCTACGTCTGGATTTTGACTTTTAATTTAAGATTGCAGAATTTCTTCTTTTTTAACCATTTGTATTGTACAGTAGGTCTCCTGGTTTGTTTAGGATCATTGTTTGTCTCAATGACTGACTTTTGGCTCCACTTCAGCTGACAACTGGATCTGACATTCTGCACCAGAATTCACTGATTCAATGCAGCTGTTATGGGTCGGTCATTGATCGCAAGCTACCAGGGGCCTGAGACAACAAAGCAGCCCCAATGCATGATACTCCCACCGCCATGCTTGATGGACAAGATTAGTTTTTGCTGTTGGAAAGGAGTGTATGGTTTTGGCCGTACAAAACTTTCTTCATTTTGAATAAAAAGTTCAACTTTTGACTTTTATGTTTAGGGAACATTTTTCAAGTAGTCTTGTGGATCATCCAGGTGCTCTTTGGGAAACTTAAAACAGGCAGTAATGTCCTTTTAAGAGAGCAATGGTTTCTTCCTGGTATTCCTCACATGTAAACCATTTCTGTTCAGTCTTCTCTTGATGGTTTATGCATTCACATTGACATTAGCCATAGGAAGAGAATCCTGCAGATCCTTAGATGTTACTCTGGGGTTATTTCCAACTTCCTGGATGATTTGCTGGGTTGATGCTGGGGACACCTTGGCAGGATGACCTATCCTCGGTAGAGTCAGGCTGGTCTTGAACATTTTCCAATTATAGACTTTCTATTCCATCAACAGCTCTCTTTCTGAGGTCCTCTGAAATGAGTTTTGATCTTGGGATCAAACATGTTCAAAAACAATGTTTCTGACCATTTTATAGGATAGAACAGCCCAAACTAACTCTTGGTTTACTTGTAAACAAATTATTTAACCACCTGATTCTATTTCCACTATTAATTGCACTAATTTCACTATGGGTTCCCTTATTACTTCACACACACTGATTCTTATTCTTTGATTTCTACTTCATACACCATATTGTCTCATACATTGAATAGGTAATTATCAAACATAAATTACTGTTTATATTTAATTCTATTGGGGTTTTACAACATTTTTCAAAGCTGGTATAGGGTGCAAAAGTGGGACAACACCAAGGACAGTCCATCTGAGGGCACACTTGCACACAGTGACAAGTTTTTCTTTGTAATTATTATTACTGAAAAAACTGTTTTAACATGGAGTGGTACTCAGTGTGCTATGAATGTTGCCTGTACTTGGTTTTATTTGATAGGATTCTTTATTACACTGCTAGACTGTATAAAATGATGCACATATGGTACATCTAAGTACTGATTTTTAGGCCTATACAGCTTTAACCTTCACAGTTTAACTTTAAAATTGTGAATTATTCCATCAAGAAATTAACTTATTATTTTGATGGCTCCTGTTTTTTCCTTGACCATTTTCCTTTGGATAAGTTCTGTCATGGGAAGTCATTTCAGAATAAAACATCACATGAAAGACATTTTGCTCAGATTTCAAACTGCTCATACAGCCTTGTCATGGAAGTGAAACCTGGATTTACATGGGAGACTCAAGTAAATTCACAACCCTTTTCTTGTCTGACATCTGCCAATTAACTCCAAAAAACATTTAAGAATTCTTTCTATTCCTTATTTTAAATGAATTTGCATCATGAAAATAAGTTATAGGTCCTGAAACAGAATTAATAATAATTCTAACAATTTAATCTATCTTAAAATGCATATATAAACACAGAACGTCAAACCAAGGTAATGGGAAAAGGTATACTTTCCAAATCAGAAGCAAAGCTCTAGACGGCAGGCTACTCTTGTCTGAATGAACTGGGAGATGTATGTTTGCACCACCCAGCCAAGAAACTATCTTCTAACAGGCAGGAAAATGACAAAAAGGCTTTGTGAGACAATGCAAACATACTTCTTGTCACGGATGTCCGAAAAACTAGACGAACCGTGGAGAGGCAGGAGAGCAATGGGAGACCCTATGCGTAGCGGCGAGATGGGGAGTTAGCCCGGCCTCATTAGTGCAAAGAGTTCAGGAGTGCCGTACAGAAACCTGTGCCCTCAGGTAGCGGACGTGGGGCGACCTGGTGCTAGGCGGGTCTCAGGAAATCCGAACGTCAATGCTGAGCCCGGGCGGAGTGCTAGACCCGGAAATATATAGCCCGAGGGAAAGAGACGGACCGGAAGGACAGCAAATAACCGGAAAGGAGAGACAGGACAGAGCAGGAGCGCCCTGTGGCTGCAGAGGGCGTGACACTTTTGTTTTGAAGATATTATACCTTTAAATACAGTAGTTTGAAATAAGAGCAACACAAGGAGAATTCCTTGAATCGTGCAGCAAAGAAAACACCCAACACATTCACCAATAGAAAGGAACTTCTGTATTTTTTCTTTTGCTCACAACAAATTGATAAGATCGTTCAGAGCAACAGTTTCAAGACGGATGAGGATTTTACAGTTAGCTCCGTATGTTGTCATAGTTGGCAAGATGCGGTAGGGTGATGTATCTGCCTGTAGAGAAACGAAAACACTATTAGGTTCCTCTCAGCTTTAACACAGGGGCATCACCTGCTGTGCACATGTGCAGTGTTACACCCCCTTCCAGACTGCAGAAACTTTCCCACTGGCTCACTGGTGCAGTTACACCATGTTAAACAAATCCAATGCCAAGATATTCTGAAAATGGATTAGAAAATTCATTTTTTAGATAACAACAATTGAATATCCTAATCATATAGCAGTCTTCTTGTCCAAAGCACCGTGTAACTTTCATATTAACTACAAAATTCTCAGAAAAGCACCGTGCAAATGTTTCGGTCATTTCATGTGCTGAATAAACTGAATTTATAGATGAGAAGTCTTAATCTTGATAATGAAGAAACTATTTGGAAAAATTACTGTAACCAATTTGGAAATTAATCTGACTTGCATTACTAATAATTTATTTTCATAAAGGAAGGTGTTTAAAAAATAAGTAATTTTCTGGATATTAAGATCTTTATTTTAAATTATTCCCATTAGGTATCAGGCCTATTGTGGATTAAAGTCCACATTTACATTATCTACTGATTACATTTTCTACTGATGCATGGGTTCTGATTTGGAATTGTAATTTTCTGCATCATTGATTATCTTTAAAGGAGATCTTTTGCTGTTTTCTGTTGAAATTGTAATTTGCTTTGGGTATGTTGTGCAACCTGTCAAGGATGAAAAGTCCAATAGGCAGATAATGTTATCAAACTTTCATAAGGCAAGATGCAAAACACCTTGTGCTACAGTACATTATTAGTTAGGTCAACCTTTTGTGTTAATAGCTTTACCAGTGTGAATGTTTTGTCTATGTGATTTACTCCACATTAGTGGAAAGTACACTCAGGATGACAAAGACATGAACGGGGAAATAAGATCATGTGAATCAAACTGGGAAGGAAGCCATCCTTCTTGCAGACAGACAAGACCTTCAATGCAATCCTACAATTGCATGTAAAGCAAAACCCTGCCGATGGAGAAAAAGAAAAGAGTTCAGCTGACAGTAAATATATTCAGATAACATTACAGTAAACAGCATGACAAGCAAAAGCATGACCACATACAGTAATTTATGACACAACAAAAGAGACACACAACACACGGAAATATTAACCATGCACGACTGCTGAGACACAAACAGTGACTCATCACAGGATTAATGAATGTTAATCTGAGTATTTCCACAATCTTGAAAAGGAGAACTCACATATAATGGAATATTAATTAATATTAATTAGAATGAAACACTTGCTTTAAATCATGATTAAAATAGGTATAATGCATTTCAATAAGAGAAGATTAATTTGCAGTGACATGGCAAGTTAAATTAAATTTTAAAGTGACCATGAGAAACAATCCCCTGGACAGTACATGGTTTGTGTAGGAATATTTTGTCAGTTTCAAATTAAAACAGAAGACATTTTTTATTTGATAAAAAATCTATAGAAAAGAGAGATTAACACATTGTTGGTATTCTGTTTGTCGTGCAATGTTGTTGGGAGAGGGGAGATATATTATATTAAATTATACTCTGAAAAAGCAAGAACATTTTCTGATGCAGAAACATATTGAACTGCAGTCCCCATTTTTCTGCAAAAAGAAATTCTACACTTTGGGATTAATTTATGAGAACAATTATTTTAGGGTAAGTGTTGGGTCTTACAGTTAGTCTAATGAAAGAAGAGAGAGAGGCAGGTGTCATCTGATTTTGAACTTATGGAGGAGTGTGGCTTTCAACTCATGTTACCAAATATTATGTATTGACAACCATTAAAAATGCACCAAATACCATTTGACCCCATACTCATTTGTTGCATTTTAATGCATCTCAGTATGGTAACTATAGGTAAACACATTTTTCAAAATAAACATATATAGTGGCTTCAATACTTTTTTTGCTAATAAGGCCACACATTAACCACAGCGTAGGTTGTCACCGTGACACATGCTGTGATGACTGTCACCCGGAGCAGCGCGAGACACGCACTCATGGGGGTAAGTGTGACACGGGCAGCTCTGCCACTATCAAGGTCCAATCATGGCTGCTCACGGGCTGCTCTCCTGCTCCAGACTCAGGCTGCTGCTGAGCCGTAGCCCTGCTGCGGTTGTATGGTGCTGTCCAGCTTCCAAGGAGGTGAGGTCAGAGCTCAGGCTCAGAGCCAAACGAGGCTCCTGCAGGAGAGTTCAACACTATCCAGGTTCCCAGGGGATGCTTTAACCTTCCATATTAGACTTGGTAAAAAAAGAACCATACTTCCTGGGTGACACCCAGGTACTGCTACAGTCAGGATTGCTTGAGAAATGGACATCATCCTGTTCCCAGTTGACTCCCAGTTGACTTTAAAAAGGCTGGAATGAGGACAAAAGTCATGTGGTAGGTATGTCTGTTAATTCAAAAGAGCTTGTCTAGTTTTGCTGTAGTAAATCTAATTAATGCCATTAAAGAATATAAGGCATAATTATATTTAGTGTTTACAAAGAAGTTAAAAGTAGCAGAATATGTTCATAATTATCTTACATTAGTATTCTTTTATAATTATCATTTTAAAATTTGTTAAGCTAAAAGCAATGGCCTGCTAAGAGCAAGGGACACTCATATTATGCTACATTTTTGTTTGTAACCTTAATATGTGATGTATTTATTATCTACGTTTAAATAAAGTGAAATCTCTGTTTAAAGACGCATCCATTTTTAATATTGTGCAGATTCCTCACTTCATGGAGCTCTGAATATTTTATGAGTTTAGTTGCAGGCACCTGAGCAGTACTGTGTCTCATGAATACCTGTCCACTTTTTTCTCCACACTTTTGAACATTTTGGTAATGTTCAACTCTATTGTTAAAAGGCAAGAAGTCATGTAGAAGATTTTTAGCTATTCTTACATTATTTACACAAAATTAGAAAGTTTAATATTTTTTGCAATTCATGTTTATAGTGAGAAAACAGAACTGTTATACTGAAAAACATACACTGTATCAATAGATTTTTCTACAGGGCTGTTCACTCTATTGTCAACAACCAAAGAAGGTTAATGAACAAAGCAAGGAGAAAATGCCAAAAAGAACCAGTCCAGCTAATAACTCAATCATGGAGTGTCCAGAAACAAAATCCAGTCAGACATTTAAATGACATATTTGCGCTATGAAAGCAGATCTCTACAATTCCTTGGATAAACCAAGTGGCTTGGGTTTTGAGAACTGGGTTTACTTTTCAATTAATGTTAAAACCAGTGTTGAGAAACAAGTACTTCAGTTCCTAAGCTTTGAGGACTTTGGAATCACTGTTATGAGTAGAGAATGTACGTTAAGTACTGAAAAATGAAGACATACAGAAAAACATGCAGTTCTCTAAGGCTTCTGTATGTTAAAATAAATATATTTTGGAGGTAGAACTTACACCAATAAAAGAAATGAGAAACCAAAAAAAATCAAAACCAAAGTGAATAATACTTTAAAGGAAATAATTTTGCTTTATTATGTACAAACAACTCAAGAATAAGTGATATGAAATGCATTCTGTATATTGTGGATTTCAAATGAGTATTTTTAACGTTTTTTCAAAATGTTTGTAAACTGTACAAAGAACACATTAACTGTTGGGAAGAAATGTGTACAGAAAACAGGAGGCAGTCTTCAAATTAAAATGTATTGTTATTTTTTCATCATTGTCTCATTATAATTTAAGCTTAAAAGGAGGTATACAGAAAATGTGTTTCATCGGTCACCGCTGTTTGGAAATATTCTGCCACTCTGAAAAATGGGAAAGCATATGTTATTCAATGTACTGTCTGAATTTAGTTAAAAATACTCTTAGCATATGCATTCCAGCAGTACCTTTGTCTTGTAGAAATTACATAGAAAACAGATTTACTTTCTTTTAACGTCAGCATTTTGTAAGTCTGTAAAACATTTTTGTGTGTATTCTAAAAACATGCGCAAACTAGTATAAATCTACTAAATCCTTCCTATTGTGCAAAGAAAAAACTGATCTAGTAAGGGGTAAAAAGGGTAAATCTATAATGAATGATATAAATATGTAATTAATACAAAATATGAATGTAACATATTTAAAGATGTACAGGTTGCAGGCATTAAACACAAGATTTTTCTATCTAGGTGCACATAACATAAATGGCATGCTTTTTACAGTGTTTTAACTACAAAAACATTTTTAAATCTCTTTAGTAAACTACTAAAGTTCATAGATATTTTAGAGACACAGACTAATGATCTAATTATTTAAAATATTAACTAAATTATATTGCTAATCCTTACTGTCCAACAGATATGAAATAAAAATATATGAAAGTCACAATCAGGGCAATTAAGTACCTGAATTCATATTTCTGTCCTGGCGTTTTTGTGGTCTTACTGTTACAAATCCATAGTTTTTTGCACTGTTGTTCTCATCACTCATTTATTTGACTTATATTATGTGTCACTATGAAAATATGCCAGTAAGAAAAGTCCATAAAATGTCATGCTGGTATATGTCCGCGGTCCACATGTTCACATTTCACTGAAGCCTGAGCGAACCCCTCCAGGACTGCACTACTCTCAAGCAGTCTATATAATGGAAACAATGCACATGTAACACAATGCAAAACACAGGAAAATGCATCACAAATCACACATTATACAATACGAAACAACAAAGACAAGAGTAAAATAATGGCTACTTTCTAGAGTAATATTACTTAAAAGAAATATTAGAATTACAACATATTTTTATACTACTCAAAATGATGAGAAAAAACAATATATTTTTTCCAATTAAAACAAAAAAATCTAATACTAAGATATTGGTATTTTAACCTGACTTAGAATCACATAAAAATTTAATTATTGCTTTTTGATGCAAAGTAAAATTAGCTCTAAACAATCTATTTTCAATTCTATGCGAAAATACTTATTTGCATCCAGTCTTGCATTAAAATTACACAAATTATAAAAATATATATTTTTAAGTTAATTTCACTTGAGCAATATTTTGTAAAATAAGCCTCAACTATAAGTACAAATATTCTGTTAGCAAAACAACAACATGTAATATGGGGGCTGGATTTGATCAAAACATCCACTCTTTGTGCTAAACAATTTCAGCCCAGTACTATACCTGATTTTCAAAGCACAGGTGCATGAAGCTCCTATAAATCGGAAAAGCCTTCATTGTGTACTGGGTTTGTGATTGGCAACTGGTAGCTTAAAGTTCTGATCAAATCCAGGCCATAATTTCAGATCTGCATCCAATTTTAAAAAATATTTTCTGTGCAGATATAAAACTGCACTTCTCAAATACAAATGTTCAGCCATTAAGGTGGAAATTGTTAAAAGAAAACATCCATGCTTAAACAATAAAAAAATAGAAAAGAACATTAGGGTTAATCTTGCTATACTGTACTAACACAAAGCAACACAAATGGTTAAATCATAATGAAAAAACAGAAAAGCATAAGTGACTACCAAACATTAATGATAAACTAATTAAAAAGATCTGAATTATTGAAACAGATTTTGGATTTGAAAAAAAAGAAAGAAACTGAAAATGTTAATTACACTGTGAAACACCAACTACAACAACGGAAGACATTTGTGTTGTTTTAGGTTTGTTTGCTTACCTTGAGATTGTCTCTTAGACCCTAGTTGTGTTGTATTCAGATTCATGTTTGCTTAGAGACCCAATGAGGCAGAACCTGGAATGTTATGGCTATTTCATTTAATAAAATACTGTTTTGCATGGAAAATAAACAATAGACATATGCATTCATATGCTACTTAAATGCAATACATTTGATCACAAGCATTTTAGAGGAGTCTGAAACATTTACATGCAGAAATGAGAAGGACATTCTGGAAGAGGGCTCTTGTGCACTTACAGGTGCACCAGATGAAGAAACAAGCATGTAATGTACTCACACCACACGAGCATGCACCACAGAGGCACACGGAAAGTGTGTTTGCATGTCGCATGGATTAAAAAAATAGATGTGAAAAGAGAAAGTAATTCATAAATATCATGTTCTCGTAAATATTTAATCTTTCCTCATTAGTCAACAAGCATTCAAGATGCATTTATACAATAAAAATATGTTTTTTTTCTTTTATAAAACAGTTTCATGCCAAATATTTGCACTTTACTGAGTAGAAAGGTTTTTTCATGACTATACTATCATATATAAATATATATTCAATTATGTTTATTTATAATGATATGAATAGTCTGAGTACTACAATAAAATTCAAAGGTGCTTTAGTCACAAAACAAGCACTTCTATTAGGATTTGAAACAGAATGTGTACATTTCTTAATTACTCTTAAAATGACACCTCTCAGCCTTTGAGATACAAGACGAAAGTTCTGGTACTGTCCTGAAAAACAGATCCATAACATTCTGCATGCACCAAGTACTATATAGTTACATCTCATCAGTCTGCAATCTGTCAGAAATGACAGGAATTCCAATAGTGGTGAGAGGCCAAGAGGGTGAAAGGGAGGCATGTGATTAGTTTTAGTATCAAACTAAAGAACTGAGACAACATGATAACTTTCTTTGGTCGGGAGCGACTGCATCTCTTCCAGTTAATCTATCCCTTCATGAATGATTGCAGAGGTCTTAATGAAAAGAGGGAAAAGATCAAAGAAAAATAAAGAAGTTGCAACCTCAAAACAAAACAGAAAACAGGAAAACGGGAAGAAAATGTCTGGGCAAAGAAGTCCCCATGGGAAAGTCTTCATCAAAAATCAATGGATACTGACCGCTGGACGGATTTATCATGTCTGGAGAGCCTGTGGCTGGTTGTGGGCACCTCCTCTATTTCATCCAGGTCACAGCCATCCGCGGCGTCTTGGGAGCAGCTGTGCCGCATCACCAGGATGCTCCTCCTGTTGGCCGGGGGCATCAGGGGCCTGACGGGCTGGGGCTGCGCGTCGGTCAGGATGGTCGCGTCTCGCGTGCTGAGGTTGCTGCGGCTGCCCTTCACGCTCGACATCTGAGACCCGCAGTGATGGTCATGAATGCATTTCGACGAAGATCGCCGCAGTTTGTGGTAGTTCTCAAAGTCCTCGGCAAGGTCCACCAGATCGGCGGAGGCTGCCGTACTTCTGAGAGTGCACAGTTCATAGTGAGGGGGCTCAAACACCTCCTGAAATACTGTTTGATCAAAGTCTTCTTTTCTTACAATGTATTTTTTGCGTGGCTGTTTGATCTGAACTATGACAGACACAATAAGAAGGATAATCACAATGCATGAGGTAACTCCAATTATCGTCCCACTGGTGTTGGTTAGGTTGTCCAAAAGGTTCGCTTTTCTCTTTTCTGTGTGATGTAAAGATACTGAGTTACAATTTAGTCCACTGACATAACAAATGCATGTATCACACAGGTGACATCAAGACCACCTGCAACCCCATTTTCAGTACAAAACCTGGTGATAGTAATCAAGACAGACAACACAAGACATCAAAAGATTTGGAGGTAATCAAAACATCAGCCACAAGCTCATGTTAGAATATGCCCTAATAAAAGCCATTTTACAATCGATACATTTAAAGGTATGTATATTAATATGACAAAGTCCACCAAACAGCAACTGCACGGTACTGTCTCTCTTAAACACATACAAACACATACAAATCAAACAATAAGTTTAGATTTTGCACGAGGTATTTATCACCTCTCACAGGAAACAACCTAGAATTTTCTCAGAAATACACTGTTCAATCTTTATTTGTTCTGTGCTACAACTTGGGACCCCACTAATTTAATATGTAGAAAACATAAATATATAGGTTGTAAATGAGAGGAGGCCATGTATCTAACTCGTTTGGTTACTTGTAATGCCTCTTTGTCAATATGGCTGGTTAGCTTGTGTCATAGTCCCACAACCCTCTGTAGAAAACAGTGACTCCTATTCTCAGCTTTAAATACACTTCCGTTTGTACTTCAGGAAGTTCATTGGTTTGACTTTGTCAGTGCATTTGAGGATTCAAGAACATTTGTATTAGGGCCCCCCATAGTCCTGTCTGTTCAATACTAAAAAGATTGATCTCTTTTAGCCTGTTAGTGCAGGACATTACTTTGAACCTGGGAATGTGTCTGGTCACTCTTCATTGATGATTTCAGAGCAGCAATATATTTGTTGCTATCTGGTGACCACAGTTATATACAACATTCTACTGTAAGTGAGGTTTTATTAATTATTATTTTAAAAGGACATTAATGTATTTAGATACTGTATATTTAAACTATGTACAGTATATCCTAACATACTGGTTGCCTTTCAAGTGCTACTGTCTATTGTCTAGAAGATAACATGAAGTGTAAACAAAAACACCTATTTATTTCAGTTAGCTCCTTCAAGCTATTTTTTCTGATCTTGTATTTATGTTTTTGCTACCTGCATGTAACACTACATGCATTTGTCTGCCTTAAATGTCATATGTTTTTTCCAGATCCAAGAGTCCCTTACAGCACACTGCAATAAAGCAGAGGCACATTTCCATTAAGTTGTATGCCCTCCATGAGTCAGCAAGGACTGATACTGTATAACAGCATTATGAGCCAAATGCTTGTAACACTGCTTTCTGAATGAATTTCCCAATTCACTGTTTTCAGATCAATTCACTACATTTGTTAAGAATGTCTGAGTTAAGGCATAACTATGAAGTATTGCAATAATAATGGAACAGATAAAATATATATAGCCTATAAAATTTGTAAGCCATCTTAAATGTTTTGTGAACCAGCAATATGCAGTAATTATGGGAATTACAATTTCTTAGCATGATATCCTTGTTCAATCCCAAATGGTATTTTTTTAATTAATCAAAAGGGTTTATATTTTCACCACTTCATTTCCATTTCAGTACGTGTGGAATAATATGTTAACCCCTAGTTTACATTGCATATTTCAAGGAGAAATTAGAATTGAGTAGATAAAAACTGGGAGACAAGTAAATGAGGACTACGTTTGGGCTGTCCTGTCCTACATACAGTAATCATCAGAACCTTTCCGAGTTTGATCTTCGCCTTACAGGGTAGTGGCAAGATGTTATGACATCAGAAGAGATTTAAATGAACCTTAGAGATGAGTAGCTGGTGCTTATCGGTCTGGACTAGGTTACAAAACTATATCTAAACATTTGAAGCTCCATCGGCTGTCAAACATATAGCCTTCAAATGGAAAATATTCAAGGCCACGATGACTCTACTCAGGACCATTTGGCCTGCTAACGTCTCCTTAACAACCTCCCAGAGAATTATCATCCAGGAAGTCACAAAAATCTGCAGGCTAATGGCAGTGTTCATACCTCAACCATCAGAAAAAGTCTGAACAGGGATGACTTTCATGGGAAAGAGACCCCAGGAAAAGACCATTGGTCTGTAACCCAACCTGGAGCATCTGGACAGTCCACAAGACTACTGGAAGGACTTTTAACAGTTGAGTCAAAAGTTAAACTTTTTCCACACAATGCTTACAACAGAAGAACCTCATCCTAATTTTCAAGCAGGGTGGTGGGAGTCTTGTGGCTTAGAACTGCTTTTTGCGGCCACAGGACCCAGACGTCCTGCCATAATTGACAGAAGCATCAATCCAGCATTATATTAGCAATTTTTGGAGGAGAATGTGAAGCTAAGTCAAAATTGGGTCATACAGCAAATCAATGATCCTAAACATACAAGGAGATCTACTCCAGTGTATCTGATGAAGAATATATTTTGCATTTTGGATTGGTCACGTCAAAGTTCGGACTAAACTCCACTGAAATATTATGGTTGAACCTGAACAGGAGATTCATGCAAAGAAACCATCAAATGTCACAGACAAGAAGCAGTTCTGTAAGGAGGAATGAGCCACGAGTCTTAAAGCTAAAGCAAGAGACAAATAAACAGTTACAGGAAATGCCTAGTTGAAGTCATTGCTGCTGAAGCAGGAACCACCACTTACTGATGTAAAGGTCCATATATTTATTCAAACAAGAATATTTATTATTGGATCTGTTTGTTAATTAAATAATCTGAATATAACTTATGTCTTTGTGTCATGTTTAATGTTAAATGTTAAATGGCATTTGTATAAAGATTTTCACGAAGATGTTATTAGTTTTTAGGTCTAAAATATATGGGAATATGTAATGACCTATTCACAAATGTTTTCTCAACACTGTAATGCAGACATACAGTAATCGATTCACAAAGAAGACAGACAGAAAGATAAACGTATAGATATTTTTCAGAAACATTAATCATTCAGAAAAAAAAATATTGCACCGCAATCGTTTCCATCTCCTTTGTTATTGCCAATCTACGTGTGAAGACCACACTGCTTCCTTTCATTTTGCAGTTTTGTCATATTAAATGTCAGCAAGTGGTAGAATTGTTGGAAGTGATGATGTTTCATAATCTGGCTGTGGTTGATGTGTTGATTATTTATTATATGTCGTTTTCATTGGAATAGCCTTACTGACATCCTGTGGTTTCTGAGAAAGCAAAGAGTCAGTAAGGCCTTTGAATTAAGGAATTTCTCAGGACTTAAAGTACAAAAAACTCAGAGTCGTAACATATTCCACTACATAACTTACTTCGGTACATATATTTCAAAGGACCTTTGCCGGAAACATTTTAAAATGGTTTAAAAATGACAGAATGGTGTACATGTTACAATAATAGACAAACAGTGACAACAGTTTCAGCTTTGCACCAAGTGCCACAACAAAGTCAGTCCATGTGAACGCAGCCTCTGCTGCAAAGCCAAGTCACTTCTTATTTCCCTAGATCAGGGCACTTAAAATTTTACATTCACATCTTCATTCTTCCCCAGTTTCTCTACTGGGTGGACAGAAAGAAAAGCAGATGAGGCCACATACACTGGGCCAAACAGAAATGACAGATTGGAGTCTGAAATGTCTAGACTCTTCACCTCATCTTAAGTTTGCCTTCCTTATTGATGATTACTGTAGAGAAAGTGACAATATCCTGATATAGTATAATACAACTACAATAAAAAGAAAGCTGTCTTATAGAAAACCACTTACTTAAACAAAGCCCACTGTAAAACACACAGAGTATGATAAAGCAATATTTCCCATATTTACCACTGTATGAATATTTGTGATACATAAGAACATCAAGACTTGCTAAATTAAAAATGCACTGAGCCATTTAAAGAAACATGACCAGCCAGAAATGCCTGCCTACCTTTGCAGTGGTTTTCATCCCAAGGGTAGACACAGTTCTGAACGCCATTGCACACAAGGGTGTTGTTGATGCACATGTTACTGTGACAGAAGAATGTGTCTGCTTCACAAGGAGCTGAAACATATCATGGAAGAACAGGGAATTAACATATACTGTAACATCAAACTCACCCCTAGCTCAGCAGCTTCTGGGTACACTTGAGAATTCTAAAATTTTCAGTCAATGACCGTAAACATGTATTCTACAATACATTCACAGATTTTGTCTGCACTGTGTGAGTCTCCATCTCATGCCACTTTGAAATATGCATGGGATTTGTTCATGAATCTGAATCTTAAATCTTAAAACTGAATCTTAAGCTTTGACAAATGCACTAATGTGACATTTGTCTAATGAAAGTGAACCCAAGTTGACATCACTTCTTGTGGCTATTGGAGTAAAATGCATAGTCATTTGTGTGGAAGTGAATTAATCTTTGCTGTTGGCCCCCATCAATCTAAGACATGATTCATTGAAACTTGAGCCATTTGTGAATTTTTAATTTACCCCTACAGCTCAAGAATACAGATTTTTTTCTCTGTAAAGCTTGAACTACAGTACCAAAGGTATGTTTTGTATATTGTGTAACAAAACACTCACATTACATAACTTTAGAGCAGAAATCAATAATAAATTGTTGTGTTTACAGTACAGAATGGTGGAGTGTGTCTGCAAGTGTATGTTGTGAAACCGTAAAAATGAATTTACAAAATTTACAAATCTCAATCTCCAAATTTGTCTCCCGGTGTCCCAATGAAGAATGTACTTAGAGAGAAACATCTTCTAAATATGAGTTCCATAGACATTGGCCTTTCTACTTCTCTACTATACTACTATTAATATTGCTATATTATTCTGCTATACGTATATAGTATTTTACAATAGCTTTAACATATATGAATAAATATTTTAGTTCTTGGGAAACAAGATTATTAACAACCAAATCAGACTTTCAATGTGACAGTGTTTAAGTGAGTCTTGCACAATAGTACACTACTGCAGTCACAAAGATTAGGAAACGTAGGAGGAAATTTGTCACAGTTTTATGCTTGTCGTACCATCATTGAGACACTAACTCATTGGACATTTAACGAATTTCTTTCCACTTGTAAAGCTGTGCAGTTACAGTAATGCACTGAACAATTGAATTAAAATGTTATCTGCTTTAAATATTCTTAAGTACAATACACATATTGATTGAAAAGTCATTTGTGAGTGATTTTTAAACATGTAATTATCTCCAGTTCTATCTAATTTCTAAATATTTAGTTTATCAAGTCTTTAAAGTTGGCAGTGAATTACCTTCAATTTCGCAGCTGTGAATTCACTTTCACAGTCACAGGACAAGATTAGTCATCTGAGATTACGACATGCACTAGTCTTATTTTCACCACAAGGCGGCGTTGCAGCACTCATAACCAATCATTTGGAACACACAAATCAGACTTTATTAAAAGGTAAGTAAAGACTAATCTCCAGTGAAACTAATTCCTAGTCACATTATAATATAATTGGTCTTTTGTTCACACCAGAACATTCCCTTAGTACATCAATTAAATAGTAATTGAGTGGAAGGACAAAAGACTAAAGCTGCTAACATGAGATCTACAGTAAATGTCATTGATGTACTGTCTGCTATGCAGGTTTTTAACGTTAAGCCACACATTTTTCCTTTTTTGTGCACAGCTTCAGATAGTCTACCTGCCAGTTTTGGCCAGTTTTGAATGTGTACCTCAGTGCAATTGTAGCTGAAAAGAACTAAGGAATATTTCAGGCATTTCTGAATCGAATCAGATGAACACAAAGCTGTGTGCATGAAACAGGGTTTTTTGAAAGGTACAGGACTCCTGATTTTAGAAAGATGGCATGTTCATGTATCAAGAAAAGGCAAATGTGCTTCCTCCTCTTGGGCTCAGTGAAATTCTGCTGCCAGACCTGTGCGTGTGCACGTTGCTGTTTAACACTTTTTGTCAGAATTAAAAGAATCACAGAAAATAACTGTAGCCGGCTTGATCCTAATCAACTCTGCCAAAGTGAAAAGATTTTCTGAAATGATTTAGTCCTGAAATGCTGCAGGTAGATTCAGATACCTCCCAGGTCTCAAACAGAACTGGGCCAGCACGGTGCTGGAGGTCAGGACCTGGGCAGCAGAATGGCAGAAGCAAACAGAACCTCCTGGACGGGCTGCGTCTGCTCTGCTCCTGATGTGTGTCCAGGGAGCTCCACTGCACACGCACTGCAGGAGCCGCTGAGCAGCACACACACGTACAGCTATTAAGCACTGAGTCACAGCCTCCGTATTGACATGCTCCCGCTGCAGCTGGGTTAATTTATTAAGGGTGATAAATCTTATTTGCTGAAATACTTAACAACGGCATCACATCCAAGACTACTGGATATTCCTTCAGTGACTATTAATTCAGGGAATTAATTAAGACACAGGGAGTGAATACTTAATTTTAAAACTCAGAATTTACCCCCGTAAATTAATTAACTAAAACTCACTACACGATGGCAGAAAAACATTATTTATTATAAGTACTGTGTAATATATTAGTCACATTGTTGGTGATTGAGTGAGCCAATACTTCTGTCCATGGCTGTGGGTTCTTCTGTATGTACAAATAAATCAATAGATAAATCCATTGGGTAAGTGCAAGCATGCAGTTACAGACACTCCAATTATCCAGTATTGAATCAGGCCCTACTAAAACTGTTCTAACACAACTGAAAATTCAATGGACAGTGTGCAGTTTGCCTGCTGTATACAAGTTCTACACGATTTCAGCTGATGCTTCCTAAATACAGTTCTGGAGGGAAACTACAATGACATTAAGGACATTCTGTTAATACCAAGTCTGCACTTCTCCCTTAATGCCAGTTTTGTGTCTTCTTTTTTTAAGGGTCTGGCTTCAAAAGGACTCTATAAACCACAAAGATTGTAGAACTACTACTGGTATAGACCTGTGTTTCTGTCCAACTCTGTATTCAATAATGAATAACACTACTCACCCAATATACATTTTGATTAATTAATTACAAAGTGAAGGGGGGTGTGACAGTTGGGTCCCGGGTTCGACTGTGGACAAGGGAATGTTCTCTGTGGTTCCAGCATGTTCTCCACTGCCAGTTTCTGAGCTCTGGTGTGCTCACACTTGCCAAGGCCTGCTGGCTAGGATAATGGCAGTCTCTGTAATGTTGCTGCTGGCCTGCATGTGTGTGGTGGGAGTGGAGAGGCCGCAATGGGCTGCTGCCCAGTCTGGGGTTTAGTCTTGGCTTGTGCCCTTGTCTGCTGCTGGGATACCCTTATCCAGATAATGGATGCTTACTTAACTACTTAACTTACTTAACTACTACTTTACATCAATTTCCCTTTGGGATCAATAAAGTCTTATCTGTCTATCTTATTATAAACTTAACCTTAGGGTTGCTCACTTTATTGTTCTAGGCACTCTTCCTTGGGTGAGGCTAGAGTCACTTTGGCTAGAGTAACTTAGAGTCACTTAGGTAATTGTTAATTTGCATTGCCAGAGAATTGGCTCTGTAATAGTGTTGGGTTCAAAAAGGTACTGCCTGAGCTTCTTGTTCTTGGTCAGCGAGTGAGCGCTGTGCCGGTGTGTACTCATCTGGAATGGCAATTGTTTTCCAGTATATGAGAGGATCGTGTATGAAGGACAAAAATAATCGTTTGTAGCCGGCTTGCAAATACTCTGGTTCTAAGGTTGAACACCGTCCGCGACCGCGTGGGGATGTTAAAGCGCAGACCTAATTAGTGTCAGGTGTGGAAGCTGCAGTGTGGGGCGTGCAGTGGGAGGTGTGCTCCACTGTCACAGTGCTTACGCTCTTGGAAGGAAGTGAAAAGCATCTGGAATCGACTGCTGCGGCTCCCCTCGTCAGCCCACAGGCGGACGACTCCCAGCCCTGTTACCAGCATCACATCATTAGCCACTGTGCTGCAGAACTTGGCCTTCAGATCCTCCACCGAGCTGCTTCCATCATACACGGCCACGAAGTTGCGCTTGCACTCGTTTGAGTTCTCCATCTCATAGTCCAGGAACCGCAGGTAGATCTGCAGACAACACAAGAACAAACACCATGATGTACGTTTTACAAGATATTTTTTTTCTTTTTATAAACTACACAGATTGAAACTGGATTTGAGGACTCTTTTCCCCCAAATGTTGGGGTTTCATACTGTACATCGAATCATATTACGCAGAAAAATATCTTCAAAGTTTAGCATTAAAAGATTAACTTCAGTTTTTGCAAGAAGTAATTCTTGAGTCAACATTGCCTTTACCCATCTGTCTAGCAGCACTGCTTTAAAATTATTAACCAGAGGACTATGATTATCTACATACAAGGTTCTGCTATGAAATGTTGCTTGACAGGTTTTACAATTTAACCAGCTGTTAGCGTATTAGGCTGAGGTAGCACACAATCCTGGCTCTGGTTCTAGCCTGCTGCCCGTGGTATACTGTCATTACATTTAATGAGTACTCTGTGCTTCACCATGGCGAGAAAGTGTAATGCTTTAATTCCTTAAGATGAATGACATTGGTGCAAAAAACTAATAGTCCCTACAATGTCAGTTTGGCTTTAACAGGATTCTAGGCAGAAATACGTGCCTGTTAAAAGCAGCTGTCACATTTGCCTTCCTCTTAGAGACATTCCGCTGCTGATCAAAGTATAATTTTATCACACATCTATCCCTTATAAAACAGCAAATAGATTCTGTTACTCTAATGCATGCTGTTGATGGTTCATTCACACGCCTACACCACCAACGCCTATTACATTACCAACAGACTTTCCTTTTCACCTGCTTCTGAATGGTACTTTCATCTACAGGCTTGAATGAAGGGGGTGCTGAAAGGTAACCTCAAATTGAGCTAATGTATGAGCCACCACGCTGCAGCTGAATTGAAGAGAATGAGTTACATTAAATTCTGTACAGTTCGTTTCTCATTCTTGGCACTTGCGCTGCTTCAGCATCTGACTAGTTAAAAGTGTTAGGACTAGTACTCTACAGTTGTGCTTTAACAAGGAATAAAATGTCATCCAGTGTTTACAGTACAAGTATTTGCTTTCTCTGAACAGAGAGCAACAAAACAGTGTCAAAAAACATCCCACATATATAATATTCTATGAATGAAACACTGACAATAGTGTTGAGCATCTCAATATTTTTCTCCTTGTTTTACCATTTGCATAAAACTTATGACTGAAAAAACTGAATCATACTGATGGCATGATACTTAACAATAATTGTCTCACTGTGAAAACAGCAGTTTACCTCAACCACTTTTTGCTGCTGATACATAAATTATCTCTGTATGATTAGGAATTACTGTTGATAAGCAAGCCTAGTAAGCATAAAACACAGCATACTAACAACACAAAAACATCCAAGCCAGTCATCATAATGTCAGTGCTGATATAAAATTCTGCCAAAGGTACTTCCACCAAATATTGGGTTCATGGGTCTGAATATTTACAGACTCAACATTTCAGATTTTTCTCTTTACTTTTTGCTGACATTTACTGCAACTTATCTTACCCTTAGTTGTCAGTTTGAGCATTCAGTTTCAAAACATTATATTCATTTTGTAAATTATACAAATTGTACAAATACGCGTGTGGATCATTCACATTTCAAAATTCACAGGACGAATTTAATGGTACAAAAAGTCAACTCTGCATATTCACCTTTTATCAGAAAGGAACATTCAGCTGACATTTTGAACCCAAAATTAACATGCTCTTTGAGATACTGAGGTGTTCTGAGGAAATACCCAGAATTGCAATGCCTTGAATCTGAGACACAAACTGTTGTGTCAGTTTGCAGCTGTATTAGGCATAGGGAGATGTAAAAATTACTAAATCTCACAACAGGCCAACTATCCCCAGTTCAGAAGGGCCCTTTTCATTCTCTTTTGCCTGTGTTAGAGCTGTCTTTGATTTAGTACACCCAACACATTGATTTTTTCCCAACACAGTGAATCTTTTTGAATCACAATCAGCGAGAATATCAGAACGAGGAAAAACAAAATGACAGAGTAGAAAAAAGCCAGGTCCATCCACAAAGCATTTATATAGTATACTTGTAATACATATTCAATATTTATCACATTACCTTAGAGAATACCTCTGTATGAATCCATTCTATGTACCAGAAAATCACAGAGTGAACACATTGGATCATGAACATCACAATAAAACCACAACTTCTATATTATATATGCACAAGTAAATTAATTTTTCTATCAATTATTAGTATACAGAAAGCTTTTGCACTTAGTGATAATGGCCCGACTACTTTGTAATGGAATATGAAATTCATCTAATTTTTGCTTTAAAAATATAAAGCATTCCTACTTTTACATTCATATTTTGACAATACTTGAGTAGTTCAGCAGTTCACAATTTTTTTGATAACATTTTTTTGAGTGTTTTGCAGTTGGTTTCAGCTGTTAGCATTAAGATCAAGCATTTCTAACAGATTTTTTTCCAGAAACAGTTCAGGTAAGATGGAGTAAGCACATTGTGAGGACCACAGCCTAAATGAATGGAGAGTAAATGGTAGCATCCATTCTGTAATTTTATCAGCACAGTGTTTCATCCATATCTCTTCTTATTTGTTATCTTTTAATGTACTGGCATATTTCAGTTTACAGCAATCCTGTGTTACAGCCTTTTCTCTGTCTCATTTGTTGCTTTTCAGTGTTGAAATGGGATTGGCAGCCAGAAACAGCATAAATTCTCCAGATGCTTGACTACTAATACATTAAAATCACAGACATTGCTTCTTTTAACTGACAGAAAAAAATGAAGAATCTCTGTGTATGTGATAACACTGGAATGACAGATGGACATGCACTATCAAATCTTTTTTCTTTGCAAATATGAAACAGCAAAGTTATATTATACTGCATTCATCAAAGCAGGAATTCAGTGTAAATTCATTGAGCTTTCTTAAGTCTGGGTTTGTGCAACAGAAATGTGCCAACACATTAAAAGATAAAAACAAATTGTGATACTTTGCTTTGCACAGAAGAAAGCACTCAGAGTGATGCTGTGTTAGCGTAAGAGATTGCACAGTTTATGACTCACTTGTTTTTTACAAGAAGAATATTGTTCTGTGGTGTGTTGGGAGAGCCACTGTGACAGTGCATCTCTTGAAGTGTGTTTGGGCAGCTGAGAAATTTTATATGAATAGCTTCCCTCAGATTCAGGGATATCTAACTAGATAACAACACAACGTGGGTGGACACCAGGTGGCTGGGCTGATTTTCCCAGTGACCTCCCCAGTCAGCCCATGCCACTTGTGCAGTTCTGGAAGAGACAGCGAGGAACAGGGAAGAGAGCTGTGTACAGACTGGGAAGGGAAGCAGACAGTCAGGAGAGTGTGAGCTGCAGCTTTGCTGTCCTGGGATCCTCCCTGACGAACCGACACCTGTCACCTGTCACCTGTCATCTGTCACCTGTCACGTGTTGGGCACTGAGGGACGTATTCACTGATCCAGCTCATGGAAAGCAGCTGTATTATTCATACATGCCAAAAGATTTAAGTTTTATTTTTAAACTGCCAGGTAGAGTTTTTCTCTCCCATTAATTTGGCTGTATTTTGTTTACGGACTGAAGGTTGTTTCCTTTTTAGCATCAGCTAAAAGGCTCACCTGTGTAGCATTAGTAATTTTATGAAAGCAAATCTTGTTCTTAACAATGACTTAACCCAGATCTGAGTGTATTAGGGAGGTCCTTAGGTATCTAGTGGGGAAGATTGGATGTAATGTCTTCTGTATTTAAAAAAAAAATAAAGTCTTGCTTTTTAAACGATTCCCTATTTCTTGTTCACAGAAGATCGAAGAAACCATTGACCTCTCTCTGTATTTCTTGATCTGTGGGTTCTTATTATAATAAAACCTGTTAAATAATTTAGACATTACAGGTCTCTTGCAAATAACAGAATAAATCATATAAATATGTGTATTTTGTAGTCAACAGTGTGTCAGGATCAATTGTCTGGACAGGCAACTACGTATACAGTAAGCATTAATCTTGATTTAAGAAGAAAACTTTTTACAATGACATAATTGATGACTGCATTAAGAAAGTGCCTGTGATAACAGCTTTCATCAAGATAAGGTACAGTTTATGTAACCGCAGTATTGCTTACCCCACAAAATTGCACACCTTGACTTGTGCCTTTTAAGAAACATTCAATTTATTGTCTCGTGTAGTTTTTTTTATAATGCAGTTCTTACTTTTCATTGGGGCTGCTTTAAACCCCAGCTGGCGAGTGCCCACACTATCTGAGCAGCTATTCTAGATGTGATTTATCCTCATCTCAGTTTCTTACATCTGAAAGTCTGAGTGCCAGGAACCACAACAGAACTTCCATAAACAGCACACTGAATCATGGCTTAGAATACACAGAGGTCCGATGAAAATATCTGTCACATGAGTTTTCCTTTATAAGGAAAAATATGTACAAATAGCCTCTTGAGTTTGGGAAGTCTTCATATACAGTATCATGACTAAGTGAAAAACTTACATTTAACAGGCTGAGGCAGAAATGTCTTTTGGGGTTGTGTGTGCCAAACAGTGTAATCAAAGGTGTTAACTCATATACACAGTTGTTGCAGTTAGTAGATTAAACACTGATTAAATCTGGGGGAAAGTCTTAACCATGGCAACATGACTATACAGGAATTACACAGGCACAAGAGAGAAGCATAAAGAATTAATTTTTTACCAGTATAGGATTAGGGCTTTTAAATGAATTGCACAGTTTCCCTTTTAGACCCCCTACTAAACTATAGAAGTATTTCCAAAAGATTTGAAGTAAAAATGTGCCCTCAATGAAACTCATAAAATATGCTGTTAAGGTTCTGTTTTGATAATGGATGAAAGCCTGATTATAATCAAGAATTCTCTTGATTATATCCTCATTTTATTAATTCAACTTGCAACAGGCATTTATCGTGGTTATATATAGTAGCTGATTAGCTCAGACATTTTCCATAGCAAACAGATCATAAAAGGTTTTTAATCTTGATAAAAATGGAACAGCCTGGCCTCTCGTGCCCTTTCTGTGCTCCACTGTAGAATCAATTACTTCTCTTCATCCTGTCTCACTACTGCACCCTCACAGTCCGCCACGTGCTTCCAGTTTCCTGTGGTTTTCCATGCTAATACAGCACTGCTACTTTGGTCCCCTATGGTTTCCGCCCCATTTTGAGTGACTTGCACATGCTTCACTGTCATTTTTATACACCGCTCTCTCACAATGGTAAAGCACAGCAATCTTTAACGAGAGCCATCCTGCTCAGACTTGCAGAGTGGCGTTACAGAAATGCATGCCCTCCCAGGGGTGGGATGTCCAGCTGACCTCTCGCATGGTCACCACCTCTCTAAAACCCATGGAAGCGAAATAAGGCCAGTTCCCACTGCAAGCCACATGCTCCCCCACAGACCCCAATCGGGTTTGAAGTGCCCCACAGCCTCACACCCCTTCACACCCATCGCCCGACAGGCAAGAGGCAGACCTTTCCCTGCAATGCGGTGCTGCAGCGATACCAGTCTCCCTCTGTGTGCCACTCTCCGAATATCTCCCAGCGGACAGAGTGCAGCTACCTGCTCAGTGAAAAGGGTGTTTCCCAACTAGCTGAGCATTCACAAAATCCTGGTGGTCCCACAACTGGCAAAGCCGTCTGCTTCCAGAAGGTCACATGGCTTCAATTGCGCTAAGGGAATGGTGACGCATCACAGCGTCACGTGACACCGCGGCACACTGGTACAGGTGAGCCTCCGTTTCACTAAACACTGCCAATCTGCAGTGCCCAGGCTCTCATGAGCACCACTCTGACCACCCAGGTTTGAATCTGTAGTGAGCTACAGATTTCTTATACTCTTTGTAGAAAGAACAGATTATGACAGCTCTTCCCATTGACTGAATACGCTTTCAGAGAATCCATTAGATGCATCTGAAATGCAAATCATGTTTATAGAGACATCTTATCTGTTACCAGCGGTGAGTGATTGTTTTGATGCTGGATTCAAATACGAACATCTTTGTACTGCAGAACAACAGGGACTCGTGATACATTCTTTTATATTTCATTATAACAATACAGAATACAAAACAGTAGTATCCTATTTCTGCATTTGTTTTTGTGTTAAAATTGTTCTGAGAGAATACCGCTACTTCTCCACCTGTAAAGAATGAAATTAGCTGGGATCTGGGAAGATAGCTACTGTATCTGGTATGAACCAAGGACAAAAGAATCCAGAGACTACATTAGCCCAGACCTTGGTCTACCGCTGGGCTCCATCAGAGCCAGGTCTGAGGTCAGGTGCATCTATTATAAAAGAAATGCAAAAAATGTTTTGTTTCATTTAATTTACATTAGGACTAATCATTAAGTGTTTTTTTACAATTGTTATCAAATTTAGTCTAAGGGATATAACTGCCGTTGTACAGAAAAAAAATGTTTTTGTTGGTGTATTAAGGTTTTACAAGGTGAATACTATTATTAAAAAAATCCCTGACTGGTGTTAATTGGCTGCACAGTGCTACAAATGCCTGCTATTGTGGTATTCCATTGTCACAGACCCCTGCCCAAGTAAGGTGGCTCCAGGGGTCTGAGCACATAAAAACCAACAAGCACTTCAGACGTACAGCACAGTGAAGGAGGCTCTTTTGTAGGAAATCTCCACAGATACTGCATACACACACAGTCCTACAAAGCACTCAGATCAATCCTTTGCCCCCTACCACTCAGTGACACACACTTATACTGTACACACCAAGCCCACTAACTGAACCTCAGGAGAGAACTTGCGTTACAATTAAACAATTATACCATCTGTGATTACCCAAGGTGAACTATATTACAAATCCTCGAGGCCCTAATCTGTGGCCTCCTGTGGCAGGCAGTCACTGGGTCTTTAACGGCCTGGCTTGCCACACTATTTTTATTTCATTATGTCATTTAATTTCCTGAGTCCTTCTGGCACATGACCGACAACCACACAGAGGTAAAAAATACAAAAGTCTGACTTTGCAAAATGTGAAATCAGGGGAACATGACAAGTTATCAATAAGAATAATAACTATACAATATCTGATACAACAAATTTTACATCTCATCATGGCACAAGTAACTTGATAGCAAAAGGAAATCCCTTTCTTCCCTTCTCTATTTTGACCAAAGGATTTTTGCGTTATTTCATTATTGCAGACGGCTATTTGATTTGTGAGTCTGGAAAGTCATGAGATAAGACTGAAATCAACTGGTGAAATGGGTGTCAAATTAAACCAAACAATCCCCTGGAAGAAGCTGCGTATCTGGGAGGCACTGCAATTTTCCATGGAGAGCTAGAGTTAACTCAAAGGAAACAACTGACTGAATGTGAGAAAATTGTTATGAGGTTTTCTCTCCACTTTAAAAATAGATATCGATTAAGAACATGCCTAGCTATAATTCAGGGTAAATCAATAAGTTACACTGATCCCAGTGGGCAATAGATCAGCAGATTTGTCAAGGGAAGGGAAAAGGCTTTGATTGAGTGATAAGGTGAGATAGTTGAAGCAATACCACTTCAGTATACAGCAATAACAGTGTGCTGGCCTGAGCATCACAGTTTAATAACCAAGAGCAGCCTTATCATTTACAACTTACAAATGCTCTCTCCAGGCAACACACACATGATGCAAGACTGCATTTTGAATTGTAAATTGCATCTTCCATATAGACTTTTATCAATTCCATTAGAGATGGAGTTTTATCCTTTATAATTTCCTGGAAGAGGGACAATTCCAACATAAAATACATTTTGGAAAATGAAATATGTATAAGCAAGAGTAATTTGCTTGTCTAATTGACACCCAGTGTTTTCAAGAAATACAGAAGCATATATTTAAATAATTCAGATACACATGTGATAAAAAGAGAAAGAAATAAGATAAAAATGTCAATCTCTGATGTAATAAGTCAAGAATCTTTACCCACTCTTAGTAAAATTGATTGTTATTTCTATGTATTTTCTATTAGGCATTCATTGAAAAATCAGGATTACAAAAACAATCAAAATATAAAAGGAGCATAAAGGCATGAACTTCTAGATTCAGAGGCAGTTTCTTCCCACAAACTGTCAAATTACTGAACTCTACCCCTACCACTGGCTCACTTTTTACATTGCATGTTATTTAACTTGTTGTTGCTTCTGCTGTTCTGTGTTTATATTTTTGGTGATTCTTTTAATGTCTTTGTATTGGAGCAAATAAGCATTTCATTGCACTTGTGCATATGACAATAAACTGAACTGAAACTGAACTAAACGTGAATAGCTGTTCAGTCAGCCTTAAGCAATCCAGCGACAATGCTTCTGTGATTAAAGACATGCACAATGTCAAATAAGTTTTTATGCTCTAAGCTTGATCTTTCTCCAGTATATCACTTCTAGCTTTGCAAGATTAGGAATTACTGTTTATTAAGCAAGCCTAAGGAGGACAAAACATAGCATACTAACAAGCATACTGACATTAATGTCATTTTTCAACATCCCTCTGATAGTCTACAGAGGTCACTTTCCCGCTAATGCTTAGCAACTATAGCACCTGAAATATATTTAGCCTTTGACTATTTACTCTATACGTTTTCTAAAAACTCAACTTAACTTAACTCTTAACTCTTAACTCATAACTTGACAAGCTATGGCACAGAAATGGGCATAAAAATGAATGGGGGGAAAAAAGACTTAAGTATAACAAATCCAGCCCTTGACCTCCCCATCCATCCCAGTTTCCAGGCCCAGCACTTGCCGTGTCCTCACTGAGCTGAGGAAATTACTGATGGGCGGGTAGGTCAAGTCTTTGGATTACTTCCGAAAAAGTCTGTAGACAAACAGATGAGTGTATGAAGAGAGTCATGATAATGTAGAGGGCTGACCTTGGACCGTGGTGGAGCTCGGATATACCATTTGCAGTCCACTGCCTCCGTTTCTAAAGCTTTGCCTTCTTTGGTGATTTGCTGTGATTCAACAATACCTTCAGGTCCTCCCATTTCAAATTCACAAACTGAGCCATGAGAAACACATGGAAAAAACAGATTAGAGATGCCTTGAGCAATGCATAAACTGCTAGCTACAAATATTTAAAAGGTACTTAGCACAGGATAAATTCCACCTACAGGGCAGAGGTTTGAGGACTCCCAAGTCTTTAAAGTCAGGATCTGAAAAGGGAACAGATTTGTTGTTAATAATAAAGCTTGTGCACACATGGTGGTAATTCAGAACTCTTTTGTAAGCACATTATGCAGACAGGAAGCTATTCTCTAATAGAACAGTCTTCATATTTTATTTTCCTAAATACAATGAAAAAAGCCAAGTACAGTCCAAGAGTCTGTAAGATAAGATTTTAATAAGAGTTAAAGTATACTTATGAAATTATAGTATGAAAAAAGAACAATTGTCACACAGAACCAGTTGTAGTAAAATGTACAGTAAATAATATTAAAGTTTCTATTACCTTTTTGAACATGTGATTAATTTTCAATAATAAAAATCTTTTAAAAAGTAAAATATTTACAGAAAGGCTTTCATACACCACTTATTAAGGGAATAAAATATATTTCCCTTTGGATAATGTGCACCCTCTGACTTTCAGAATACTAGGAAAAATGAAAATATAAGGCAAATGTTTGATTTTTAATGGAAAACGAAAAGCATTGTATAATATTTTGCATCCACTGTATCTATCTGAGATATATAGTGCAGAAAGCAACATCTTGCTTATTGAAACCTTAGATGAAATGTTATGATCGTCATGTAGAAAAAATTCTCAATGCATCATCTACACAACATCTGTCACAAAAATAGATTTCTCATAATTGTCTCATAATTTCCTTTATAATTAATCAAAAAGGTCCTAGAATACTGCAAAGCACCTTTTAAAAAGCTCATTATTATAACTTGTTTTTGATAATTTGTTCATTTTCAATTCTAATGAAATATAGTACTTTAATGGTTTAACGGTTTTATAAATGTCAATATTATAATTTTGATGTTCAAATTCAGTTTAACAATTTGTTCATTTTAGACTTTAGATTCAATATTGCAGGCTTCACAATTTTCTGCACTTCTCTTTCATGATGGTGTTGCTGATTCTTAAAAAAAATGCTCAAAAATGGAAATTAAGAGAAAAGAGTTTGTGATGTGATATTAGAAAATAAACTTTGTTTCATATGACCATCACATTTACAGAATTCCAAGGTCTTTGCACTAAACGTGTGCTACCTGCACAGCAATGAAAAAGAGCCAATTAAAAACATTTTTATTAACTGCTTTATTTTAAATGCAATGTTACAAAAATAAATTACACACAACAGAAAGACAAAGGTTATCGCTACAGAGAAGAGCTATGTTAGTTATATTCCGTATGTATAATATCATGGAATATATATTATACCTGACAGGCAAGGAGCACACCAAAGATTTATGGTGGCTTTTAAAGAGGATGCAAACCATAACCCTGGAGGGTGCAGCTTGTAAGATACATCTCCAGTAGCACTGTGATGTGGCTGTCTTCTTTGCATTAAGAGCTTTAGAACAAACCTAGGTACTGTATAACAAATCAAAGGTAGATCAAGTTTTTGTTTTTATGTAATTTCTTCGTGGGAATGTCACCTTTTCATGTGTTTAGCATACTACAAAACCCAAAGCACCACTACCTGATTCATCCCTGGCCTGCAAGCTATGCTAATACCCCTGGATAACGGAATGAAGGAACTTCAGTTTTAGATGGAGCAGTCCTTGAAAGGGTATGACTCACACCTCTGGTATTGGCCATGTCAACACCATGGACAACTTGCAACCAACATTAGGACATGAGGACAAAAGCCAAAACTAAAAGGAAAGTCCTAGTGTAGTTGGTGCCTGGATCAATCAGGATTTGGATGAGATCAGGAATCAATTGAATTGGGGGTAATCAGTGACCCTGAAAGGTCTCCTTTTGTCTTTAACATTGTAACATCTGGAAGAGACAATTCAAATGAAGAATTCTTTTATTTTACAAATTGGAGGTGGAAATATTGTCCATAACATTGTTAAAATTCAGTTTCAGCCATATATACAACTTTGCATATTTCATTCTTTTAAAACAAGTATTTATTTTTTTCTGCCGCAGCATCCATCTTACAGAGCTGAATCAGACGATGGGGGCAGATCCTGCAGGTGTTTTAATTCTATGTAAAACATGTACTCTTATTCTCCCATAATTCCACCTGGCAGAAGTGTTACCAGCTGGCAGCCTGGACTCAGGTCTCAGAAGCCAGGCAGGGCTAGGCCTGGTCAGGCCTGGGATGGGGAGCTGTTCAAGGCAACCAGGTTGCTTCTGTAAGTGGGGCTGTTAGACCAGTAGGAGGTGCTCTTTCCTCTGAACCAGAATTTCCACACCACCTCCTCAAGAGGTGTGGCACTTCAGATGAAATATCAAACTAAGGTTCTGACGAGTTGGTTATTGAGGACAGCATGGCTGTTTGCAAGAGTAGGGATTTTAATTTTATTCTGATTGTCCTTTTTTTCCTCTCTGCGCTTCTGGTCCGCACTTAATTCAACTGGTTAAGTGTTTTTTTCACTTCAGCTGATCTGCTGTACAGTGAGGCTGCTGGCATGTTACAGCTGCTGTGTTTCTTCAAGGGGCTGTGATTAAAGCAGGTCCCCACCTACAGTATTGTATATCTCCTCCTCTATTTCTTCATAGGAGAATATGTTTCATAAATAAAGGACCCATGTTCAACGTTTTTTTAATCAACCTGTTAGCATCTGCTGTTGTGCAATTTCTCAACGTGTCTTATTCATTATATATAAGACTATGTAATGAGGCTTTTTTGATTGCATTCTGCTGTTTTAGACCTGGTGAAAAAGACACAGGGGGAACTAAGGCACACTGTATATACTCATTTAGCTAGTCAGGGAATAGCTGTGTCCTGCTAATGAGCTTTTAGAAGGGGAATACAACTATCAATGGCTGAAAACTGTGACTTTAGATGCACAAATATTGGAATTAGAAGTTATAATAACTATAGGGTAGTGTGGCACATAGTTCCAACCAAAGCCTTTTTACCCAAAACAAAGTGTTACCTCAAATGATTTCACTTGAAAAGACTGATGTTTTTCCGAGGTGTGGACTCTTGTGATTTGACAGATGTATACAAACAGCTGGAAGGGAAGCCACTGGGCTATGAGGTGTGCACAATATAAGCACACACCAGCTTGCTCACTTATGTGTCATTTTTCTGAAGTTAAACGGAAAGTCTTACTTTAATTGTCCTTGTTCTTTTAAAGTAACTAATGAAGTAATTGAAACAAATTGTGATTAAGCTGCTATTATTTTGTAAGTTATTACCAAAATGTCATTACTTGTAATTCATTGCCTACCTACACAGTATGGGACAGAACAACAGGCAAAAAAACAGCAGATGATGTCACTGCAGTGCTGAGAAGCTGGGCTTTGTGTGTAATCCAGAGCTTGACAGAAACCCTTGACAAATGCTAGTATTTATACTAGGAAAATGCATATTTTGTGGGAATAACTTAAGTGTAATTTCAATTTAAGTCTATCTCCTTTGTACATATACTGTATGTGCACCATATAACCTTCAGTTGCATGTAAATGATGCATAAATCATTGGCTATTTAATACCAGCAGGCTTTGACCTAGTTTGTAGAGGACAGAAATTGATTTGTACCAGAGCTTTTTCTTGTATCCACTTCACTGACTACACTAGGTTGTAACTGATCCAATTAAATTGTTTTTCCAATATGTTAGTTACAGATGATGTATGGTACAACAACTAAAACATCTTGCGGTGAGCTGCTGCTGGGCTTTATTGGGTCTTTTGGCCTAAGCAGTTCGTCTAGCATGCTTTACGAGAGTAACTCTTCAGTGCAGGTGAAGTGCCACAGTTTCTCTGTAATCTGTACAGACAAGCAGATGTGATTCACAGAGGGGTGAGGTTAAAATCTTCCACCTACCTACTACCTGTACAAGCAGAAAAAGAGTCTTTTCTTTCTAAGAGATGAAAGAATAGAGAGCCTCCCAGATTATATTAAAATATGCTCCAAGGAAAATGAATATGTAAGTCTCATCATTTTGTTTTCTATAAATGTACTTATAAAACATAAATTTCTGTTTTTATAAATTTGCTTATAACAAATAACACTGGGGAGTCCATATGCCACCAATGTGAAACATTTATGCTTTAACAGCACAAAATCAGAAACACAAATTTCTAAAAGTTTTGCACAACATGAACTCCTTTACAGTGTGACATTTATTTTCCAGTTAGCCTCAATTCATGGAGCTGTAAGCCAGGGAAAATGTCTGTACTGCACAAAAATTATCTTCTGTCTCAAATCTGAAATTGTGAGTTTTTTAAAATATCTAAAATCTCAATATCACATATATTCATTTTTGGAATAACAGTGGGTTGATTACTTTAATTTCACTCTAAGTGTATTGCCTTAGGGCACAAACATTTTTTGAGGGACTGATTATTTTCTTATTAATATCATCAGATCTATATTAATATTCCACATGTAACTTATGTACCTCTAAAACATGAGTTGGGGATGTAAATTCTACTGACACAAGAGGAACTAAATGAACCACACACAGAAGTCAGGTTGTTCTATAGTCAGACACAAGAGGTTAAATATTTTCTGCAGACATTGTCGCTTTCAAAGCTTTCAAAGCCACACCAAAACAGGCTCATGTGCTCCCATTATGTAATAAATGCGGGTCAATATGTGCTGTGCTCCTAAAACACTTTGGAATACCTAGAGCTATACTGAGAATGATGACAGGGACATCTGCTTTTTCCTGTGCACCATCTTAAAAAAAATACAAGGATGACTGCTTCCACCTAGGCATTTATGATTCATCCATTATCCTAAGTAAACAGCAGTTAAAGTCGACCTTGATTTGGAATATTTTATTTTGCCATTATAAATATATACAGTAAATTAAAAAAAGTTCTTTAAGGTTGGGATAGTACACTATAACTGCATGCTTTGCCCTCTTTCTACATCCAGCACCCCTTAATAATCTAAAACTAAAGATCAGATCACTGGCTTCTTTTTTCTTTAAAAATACAGTAACTGACCGTGCATGTAATTTGTGTTTCAGGGTGTCGTGTTTTCTGAGAATGACCATTCCAGAAAAATTTGCCGC